ACCACAAAAAATGGGAAAGTGCAAGGAAGAAGAAGAAGTAAATCTGTCTGTGTGGTTTAATTAATTGTCAAGTTAATTGTGCATCAAACAATCAAAAATTATTGATGTTTGATATAATCGAAGATTAACGTCCTGATCATATTTTATGATTAGGGAGAACCTTTTTAAAGCACTGGAGGGCCTGTCTGTCTACCTACCTGACGGAACACCAGGAGCTTGGCAAAACTTTAAAAGATACGAAATTGTCTGTATTGAAAAAGTTGTTTAGCATGATGTGCCGCTTCTGTTGGCGAAACGAAGTTCGCGGGCACCAGCTAGTAATTAATAAGGTAATTTTGTTAGACCATATAAAAAATTGCTCTCTAATACATGCGATGTTCTTCTTTGTAACGGTCTACCAATCGTGACCGACTAAAACTGATTCTCATTCAGACATTCAACAATTAAAAAGCAGAATTTTCCAGTGCGATCCTAGTACGGTCCTGACGGTGACCGTTAAAGACTGTAAGAAAGAATTTTACTAAAAGTACCTATGGTGTACCTACCTATCCATGTTACGGATGCAAGATATAGAGATATATTTTTACTAATCCTCTATTCTCTCTAAATAAAATATCCAGCTCAATAAGCTTTACTAAGCAACAAAATATTCCCACAGGGTTAGCATAGGGTCGATTAATCTCAGCCAAAGTGACAATAAGTCACTTACCTTTCACTGGCCCCACTATATCACGAATACCACTTTATCCGGAGCTATACAGGGTGAAATCCATTCTAGGCCAGTTGATTCGAATATATCATATTTTTATACGATACGTAAGAAGATATTTACAAATACAAATACAAATATATTTATTTACAAAAAAAAATTGTACAACTCACAATCACTATGGACCCCGCACAGGGAGAACCTGTATCGCGGGCGTCCGCTTATGTTTAATTTCAAATGAGAGTTTTAAAAACTTTGGGTTAGAAATTATTATAGCTTAATAGGTAATGTTATGTGAGAAGTTTTCGTCTTAGAATAGCTTTTTTTTTCTTTCTATTTCACAGCTTGTTTTTTTGTTAGTCTTTCTTTCTCTCTATCTATTAATTTATAAACGTATATTGTTGTCAATTTCATAGACAGGTTTATCTTCAAACTTGCAAAATGTTGCTACATACTGTATAGGGTAAATATGCCGAATCCCGGCACCCCGGATGCATTTTTCAACTTTGACTCTCTATAGCTCCTTCAAATAATGTCCCATAAATATGTTTGATACATTTTTAGGTATCTTAATTAACCTTTTTTCAAAAATAATGCTTAAACTATTGTAAAATATAAGCGTTAAAAAGAAGGAAGCGTTTAAACTCGGGAAGTGCGAAAAGCTCTAATGTCGGCCGTTTTCAGTCTATTTCCGGCCGCGATTATGTCAAATCACGGCCGTGTAAAGGGTGCTCGAGAATGAATGGATTAAATACATGTTTTATTGAATAATGGACATGAAAATAATTTATTTTGTTAGTTTCGTAAGTACATAATATGTCTTATATGAAAATAATTTAAAAATGAATAAAACACAAAGAAATCAAATAAAAACTCTTTCGATGTTAATTTAGAACATCCTGTACATCGCCCTGCAAGTAATTGGAGACGGCCGGCTTTGCGTTGTTCGGGATATCTAATGTCGGCCGCATTTTAAGATCCAAATTGCTATGTAACTAGACCATGTAGCCCCGGCCGGATTTTGAATAAGAGATGCAAAAACAGTAAATCTAATAAATTACATGGACAATTTCATCTTTAAAACGATAGTCTTAAGATAAATGAAATTATAAAAATGGAATCAAATAGCTTAAACTCGGCCGCCTGCCGAAATTTGAAAATTTACGGAAATCTCAATCCGAATACCGGCCCCCCTAATTTACTTGTAATAAAGCAATAAAATAAATTAAAAATGCAGTTAAAATATAGTTTAGACAATCTTCTAATAGATATGATGCAATAAAATTGTCATAACCTTTTCCTTCCCTTCATAAATGCAATGCCCAGAATGGACGTGAAGAGCTTCAATCTTACTTCTTCTCGAACAAACCGTCCGATCCAGCGCCTCGGTCGCAACCAACGTCTATTGCTCGAAATGTGAGGTGGATAAAGGATTACCAATGGTTTTATAGGGAAGCAGATATAATCAGGTTGTAAATCGAGTTAACAAGCTTTAAGTTTTTCCAGTATTTTGGGAATGCAAGCCAAAATTGTGAAAAAGGCCGGGATTAGGCGGGGGGCCGAAATTCGGCATATTTACCCTATCGAACACTGAGGGCTCGCTAATCTCCTTGATATTCAGAACGTTCCGAATATTGCACAATAAGATAAGTAGGTATAATGATTTTACAGTTAGACCATGCATTCGCTAAGTGTTCGGTTGCATGCTTCGTAGTCGTTATAAACTGGGCTAATTCCTTGCGAGAGTTTTAAAAATATTTCTGATTGAGAGCAAGGATTTTATTCTCATCTTTTGTACCTATTTCTGACTATGATGTGAACTTGTGGAATTACTGTTGTCAGGAAGTAATAAATAACATAATTATCGTTGGTTTAGTGGTCTAACGGGGCAATTTTCCGTGCGGGAAGAGATTCGCCGACAATCAATAATTATAGTCATGGCCCTTAGCAAAAAAATACTGTTTTGCCGGCACAGTTGATGCCGCTTTGTTCAGTGATACTAGGGACCATTATGAATGATTCCATCCGAGGAAATGAAAAATCCATCCACTGGATTTCAAGATGGCGGACCTTCGTTTTTTTGTATGGCACTAAAAAAAATATTCTTCTGGAGCCCATCGTGTGGGGTATCAAATAAAAGGGCTAGACGAGACAAATTCAAAAATATATCGTTTTAATACATTTCCATTGCCCTCGTAGAAGAAAATCAACTTACATTTTTAAAAGTAGTCAAAACATGCCAAGTTTGAGGTCCAGTAGGTAAAAAATGGCTGACGTATAGTTTCATAAAAGTATGCCAAATGATCCACCATATCCTCAACTCTAACGTGACGAAAGGAATTTTGAAAATAATAAGATTTAATGTATTATTTTGCAATGGAAAGTAGATCATTGGGAACTGCAGTAGGTTAGTAAGAACTGCTTGTGCGCTTCCATAAATGTGTAAGATGCAATTCTCATCATGATTGCTTTTACACTTAAAGCTAGATTATAATGTGCCGGATCATTTTGAATCTTCGGGCACGGTTGTGCCCCCGCCAAGTCGAGTAAAAAGAGACTTTGCCGTACCATATTTGTCTTAAAGCAGTTTCGGCCAAAGTTGAGACCCCTTTATCGATTTGTTGGATAAAAATAGAAATATTTAATTTAGCAGATATAGAAGCTCTAAATGAAGTAAAATACTTAAGTTTAAGAATAAAAACAAAACAATTAACTATGTGATTTTATGTGAATACACAGGATTACCATTTAAAATTTACAGCGAAACAGCATTCATTGCAGTTTTAATTGTAGAATCATGTTAGTGTTTAGTGTATAAATATGAAATACCTACAATGATTCTAAAGTTATTTCGTACCGACGACATCGTGGATTGCACAACGTTTCTGGTGGAGTGGCGGACTTGGCTGTCTTTAACAAAATATATCTTGCAAGTAGTAAGTGTATGATTATTTGTTTTTGCAATTATTTAATTTCGGTCGCTCAAATAGGCCATATTTGACAACTTTCAGATATAAAGTTATTTTTCTTTGATGATGTGTTTATTAGTATGGGCAGTCAAATATGGCCCATTGGAACGACCGTACTCGAAGTCAATATTTTATGTACGAAGACTCTCATTTTTGCTGTAGATGTACCTAATGAGTGGTGAGACTTGCTTTTTTTTGAGTTGTGTTTTGATGGTATCTCATATCTTTACATAAGGCTTTTTTGATCTCACTTCATTCATATACCTAGGTACATGTAATCTAAAAGTGCTTTAGAAGTTTTAAATGAGTAACAGGTTTAAGGGAATTGAATGATTTTTTGAAATATTGAATGTTTATTTAATGACTGTTTGGGTCCTCAACACACAGGTTTCAAATGTTATCCAAAATATCGTTGTTTTTGGCGTCAAAATTGGCCTAAACTGTTTCGAGAGAAACAATTTTATTTAATTTAGTCATTTATTGTAGGTACCTACACAAAAACAAATACAGGACAAATACAAAAATAAAAACGGTACAGCAGGCACTACTTATTTCTAACATGAATTTTTCTTACAGGCCTACTAAACTGAGATAGCATTCATGAGTGAGCAACATGGTACCTATGGCTTTTTACTCAACTTGGCGGGGGCACAACCGTGCCCGAAGATTCAAAATGATCCGGCACATCATAATCTAGCTTTAAGTGCAAAAGCAATCATGAGAAGAATTACATCTTAAATATTTATGAAGGCGCACAAGCAGTTCTTACTAACCTATTGCAGTTTCCAATGATCTACTTTCCATTGCAAAACATACATTAAATCTTATTATTTTCAAAATTCCTTTCGTCATGTTAGAGTTGAGGATATGGTGGATCATTTGGCATACTTTTATGAAACTATATGTCAGTCATTTTGTACCTACTGGACCTCAAACTTGGCATGTTTTTACTACTTTTAAAAATTTAACTTGGTTTTTTTCTAAGGGGGCAACTGAAATGTATTAAAACGATATATTTTTGAAATCGTCTCGTCTATCCTTTTCATTTGATACCCCACACGATAGGCTCCAGAAGAATTATTTTTTTAGTGCCATACAAAAAAACGAAGGTCCGCCATCTTGAAATCCAGTGGATGGATTTTTCATTTCCTCGGATGGAATCATTCACAATGGTCCCTAGTATCACTGAGCAAAGCGGCATCAACTGTGCCGGCAAAACAGCTTTCGGGTGATATTTGACCGTACCCGCCTAGACTATTAAGAATACATCAACCGAAAAGGCATTTAAAGGAAAACAAGAGATTGTAAGTAAAATAAAAAAATGCATCTACCGGGACTCGAACACGGGCCGCATGGGGTACCTACCATCCCACTGCTCTGCCACTGAGCTATCGATGCACCGATCGATGCCTGACAAAAATCAATCTCTCGAGGCTCGTCTCCAAGAAAAGACCTACTTTTTTTGTTAAAAAAAATCGAAATATTTTTATTTCCTACCTAGGAGATAAGCTGTTTGTGTCCTTTTATGCAATTATCAAGCTTGTTCTTGACCATAAACAGCTTAATTACCTAATAATATAACATTATTATATACCTGACCGTAGTGTGTGAACAAGGAAAATTCATTTCCATGTTAATATGTGTAACTTATTATGATAAGTGGTCATCCTAGAAGATAATAGGAAAACAGGAAAATCTTTACCAACATAAGTTTTTTTTTTTTTTTTTATGTAGCCTGTAACATAAGTTATGGTAATTAATTTACCGAAGGTAATATTGATAATGGTGCCGTGTGGTGTCGGCAGAGTAGAATCTCACCACCCCAAATCTGCCCGTGGGTATCGTAAGAGGCGATAAAGGGCTTCCGGGAGGTGGGCAGCAGCGCCTCCCGTGTTGACAACATAGTCCACAAACGCAAACTGCGGTCACCAACCCGCCTGCCCAGCGTGGTGACTATGGGCAAAACCCCCCATGGACAGGACGAGAAAAAACCGGCCCCTAGTTCCCGGCCGCCTTACTACCCCGGGCTACGGTAGCGGCCCGGGTAATGGTAGGGCAGGGGGTGCGAAGAATCCCCGGGCTACGGACTACGGCTGCCATAGACTGACCCTGGCGACGTATAACGGACGCAGTCTGCGGCTGGACGAAAGTCTCCAAATCCTTGAGGTAGAATTAGATAAGATACGGTGGCATGTTCTGGGATTGTCAGAAATCCGAAGAGAGGGGGAGGACACGATAACCCTAGAATCAGGTCACCTATTCTACTTCAGGGAAGGGAGCGCACAATCCCAGGGTGGCGTAGGGTTCCTTGTCAATAAAGCTCTCTGTGACAACGTGGAGGAGATCAGCAGCGTCTCGAACAGAGTAGCGTACCTCGTAGTGAAGTTGACCGAGAGGTACTCTCTTAAGGTCGTACAGGTATATGCGCCGACTTCGAGCAGCTCAGATGAAGAGGTGGAGGCCCTATACGACGACGTGTCGAAAGCCATACACCAAACCACTAAGACCCACTTCACTGTTGTCATGGGGGACTTCAACACTAAAGTGGGACAGGAGCACGGCGAATCAAGCTTGGGACCACATGGCTACGGGAGCAGAAACCAGAGGGGCCAAATGCTAGTCAACTTTCTTAGCAGGCAGGGGCTGTTCTGTATGAACACCTTTTATCAGAAAAAGCCCCAACGGAAGTGGACCTGGAAGAGCCCTGACGGCAGGACGAAGAACGAGATCGACTTCATCATGACGGATAAACGGCATATATTTAGGGATGTCTCAGTGATCAGTAGGTTCAATACCGGAAGTGATCACCGACTAGTAAGAGGCACCCTAAATATCAACTTCAAGCTAGAAAGAAACCGCATGGTGAAGCAAGTTCTCCGTCCCAATCTGCCCCAAGCCGGACATGAGGAGTTCCAACTTGAACTGAAAAATCGATTCGCTGCCCTGGAGACCCCGGCAAACGTTGACGAGGACCTAGAGAGCATAGTCGGGGCTATTCGCGAAGTGGGGACGAAGCATTTTCGTAAAAGGCGAACAGACAAGAAGTCCAAACTTTCAAGCGAGGCCCTGGAACTGATGCGAATTAGACGGGAAACACCAGAGGATGCATTGCCAGATCCCCAGTCACTTAACAAAAAGATCCGAAGTATGGTAAGACACGACTTCCGAAGCTATAACACTCGACTCGTAAAGGAGGCGATTGAGAAAAACCGAGGGTCGAAAGTTTTTACCAAGACACTGGGAAGGAGTCATCTGGCAAAGCTAACTACCTCGAATGGTGTAACTGTCACATCGGTTCCAGAGATTCTCGCTGAAATTGAGGACTTCTATGGAAATCTGTATGCCTCACATGCGAAAAAGCCTCCACCTGATGCGACCCCAGACCCAAGAGCTCCTCTCCCGCCACTTTACAGAAGATCTCCCGGACGTAGATATAGACGAAATCGCGGCGGCTCTCAGACAGCTTAAGAATGGGAAGGCTCCGGGAAGACGGAGTGGCCTCTGAGCTACTTAAGGCCGGTGGAAAACCTGTCCTCGAGGAGCTGAAAAGGCTTTTCAACTCTGTAATAGCCAATGGGACAACCCCGAAGGCGTGGAGCAGAGGTGTAGTGGCATTGTTTTTCAAAAAAGGAGACAAAACGCTTCTCAAAACTATAGGCCGATCACACTTCTGAGCCACGTCTATAAGCTGTTCTCGAGAGTCGTCACGAATCGTCTGGCATCAAGATTTGACGCCTTTCAGCCACCGGAACAGGCCGGGTTTCGTAAGGGCTTCAGTACCGTGGACCACATCCATACTGTAAGGCAGGTTATACAGAAGACAGAGGAGTATAACCAACCACTGTGTATGGCTTTTGTGGACTACGAAAAAGCCTTCGACTCTATCGAAACCTGGGCTGTTTTGGAGTCCTTGCAGCGGTGCCAAGTCGACTGGCGGTATGTGGAGGTGCTGAGAAGCCTTTATCAAATGGCTACGATGTCCGTTCAAGTACAAAACCATAATACAAGACCCATCCAACTGCTCCGTGGTGTAAGACAGGGTGACGTTATATCCCCGAAACTCTTCACCAACGCATTGGAGGATGTCTTCAAAACTCTACAGTGGGATGAACTGGGCATCAACGTCAACGGCGAAAGTCTCACGCATCTCCGCTTTGCCGACGACATAGTCATAATGGCCGAATCGCTGCAGGACCTGCAAAAAATGCTATCTAGTCTTAACTCTGCCTCGAGACGTGTTGGACTTGGGATGAACTTGGATAAGACGAAGGTCATGTTCAATCAACACATAATCCCCGAGCCGGTCTCCGTCGAAGGTGTAGTCCTTGAAGTTGTCCAGAAATACGTGTACCTTGGGCAAACTTTGCAGATGGGAAGAGACAACTTTGAGGCTGAAATCACCAGAAGAGTGCAGCTTGGTTGGGTAGCATTTGGAAAGCTGCGTCACATCCTCGAATCATCTTTGCCACAATGCCTTAAGACCAAGGTGTTCGATCAATGCGTCCTACCAGTCATGACCTACGGAGCCGAGACGTGGAACTTGACAGTAAAACTGGCCCACCGGCTACATGTCACTCAGAGAGCTATGGAAAGGTCTATGCTTGGTATCTCTATAATGGATAAAGTCCGGAATGAGGCCATCCGAAAAAAGACCAAAGTGACGGACATAGTCTGGAAGTGTAGCAAGCTGAAGTGGCAGTGGGCTGGCCACATCTGTCGTACAACCGACGGACGGTGGAGTAAGCGGGTTCTCGAGTGGAGGCCACGCCTCGGCAAGCGTAGCGTTGGACGCCCTCCGGCCAGATGGACCGATGACTTGAAAAAGGCGGCTGGTAGCGACTGGATGGCAAAAACGGGAGATCGTGCCTTATGGCGTTCCCTGGGGGAGGCCTACGTCCAGCAGTGGACTGCAATAGGCTGAAATAGAAATAGAATATTGATAAAGGTATCCAGGGATATTAAGATTATAGATAATTTAATTACTTACTTGTTCAGTATAAGCAATCGTGGATAGTCACAAAACTAAGTCTTGTGTTGTCTATCAGCTATAAAATGTAGTCTCAAAATAATCTTTCTTATTTACAGATGACAACGATGTACCGTGCCAAAGAAACCGTGCCGTATTTAAGAATTAGGACACATTAATTTCCAAGATGGATGGTGCGAAGATCACGCACCAGGGCCTGCGTGCCCACTCCGCGGAAGGGTCTGCCGGGAGGATCACGCAGGCTGGGCTGGCTGCCAGGAGCCCTGAGGGAACAGCAGCCAAGGGCATGGCCATCAAGGGCCACGAGGACCTCTGGGTGGAGATCCAGGCGAACACTTTTAGGAATTGGGTGAACGAGACGCTGAAACCTATGGATATAAAGGTAAGATCTACGAAGACATTTCTTTAAACCTGCATGGTTTTTACTTTAATATTTATGGTATTGAATGTAGTATACCGAGTGATTCCAATCATTTTGAGTAGGTACAGTTCGAAACTGGAACAAAACCTTTCTTGAATTCTGCAAATACTTACGTTCTACAATAACGACTAAGTATTACTTTCACGATTTTAGTCAATGAACCTTGTACTTTATAGTTTATAGGTCAAATTATCTCAAAGCGTGCAATTCTGACGTGCAAGTCAATTATCTACAGCTTTCAAGTTACTTATTTGTAAATTGCCATACAAAATCGCACGTGTATTCGGAGTTATCGTAAAACTTAATCCTCGCCAAAACTCATTTTGATATAACCTTAACCTACAGAACTAAAATAGATATCTACCTCATGTCCTAATTTCCACTTCCTAAATATTGTACAAGACTAAACCTCTTAGTTGTAGAGCCGGCTGCAGAAATACCTATCTCATCAGGTACCACATTATGCTAACTTTAGAACAGGCCAAGCTTTTTCACATAATTTATCAATCGTAAACTGATGCCAGCACTTTTATTCAGGTACCTTTAGACAATTTTAACAGATGGCAGGATCGGCTCTGGCAGATCTGGGTCCTTCGACTTGTTTACGTGTCAGTTAACGTTCTAAAGTTAGCCTATTTTGGTACCTGATGAGATAGGTATTTCTGCAGTCGGCTCTTGCATTATATGCCATCTTCACCAGGTACTTGACTTAGTAGAAGATCTTCGTGACGGCACCGTCCTCTGCGCTTTAGTGGAGGCTCTGCAAGGCCGCAGACTGAAGGGCTGGAGTCACAAGCCTGGCAACCAGCACCAAAAGCTGGACAACGTCACCACCGCGCTGCAGGCCATTGAGGATGATGGAGTCAAGCTGGTCAATATTGGTAAGCATCCTTGGAAGCTCCTTCTGTGCCCTTGTGGAGGATCTGCAAGGTCGCAGACTGAAGGGATGGAGTCACAAGCCTGGCAACCAGCACCAGAAGCTGGAAAACG